TCTAATTTTCTGGGTTCTTTGGATCCCATTGATTATATGCTTTGGTGGCCAGAAGCAGGATTATCTCCGCATACGTTTTAAGCCAAGAGAGGACTATTATTGGAAGCCTGCTCAGAGAGTAGCCACAGACTTTTCTGGAAAGGGTGATGTGAGAACTAAGTCTATATGAATTGACCGTCAATTTACTTAGATGTATTGTACCCATTGCCTTACAGTTTTTATATGGACTGTGAAGAAATATAGGTAAGAAAATAGATTAATTTAAAGGTCAATAAAACCCAGAATTATTGGGTCAGGAAGAGAAAAGATATCATTGTATTTGAAAATAAAAGAATAAAATAGAGTCAGGCATGGGATAAATACATTAAATAATACTTTCCACTGCCACTGTGTTCTTTTGATAGTATATCGTCCTCAGCAGGCAGTTGACTTTTTCTCCTCGACACGGGTAAGTGTAGGTCTGAATGAAGACGGTTTGAAGGAAGATGGATGGGGTGGGGGAGGGGCAAACGGACATTTACTGGCAGGTGGACACGTTTCAAGCCTGATGATTCTCTAGAAACCATTTACCAGGCAGCTTTAAATCACAGTCAAGAGATAGGTGCTGCTTCAGTAACTCAGGTATCACAGTTGAGAGAGGTAAATATGTTCTGTGTGACTGTGTGTGTGCTGTACTTCAGGGATTCTTTACTCTGATGATCTAGAGTTGGGTTTCATGGTCTTTGAATACCATAACATTATAGAATAATTTCTGGGAAGAGGGGCCATGACTTTTATCAAATTCTCAGAAGTATCCATGATCCAAATAGTTTAACAGCTCAATGTGGATTCCTAGGAAGGGGCGGGGAGGAAAGTGGCTGCATAGAAAATCACAGTAAAATATATCCCATCATTTTATATAATGGGTGATAACTGATGGCTTAAAAATGACTCAGGGTTTTGATCTGGAGCCTATTAGAGGCATTTGGTTTCAACTCCCAATTAAATATCTAATCTAATTACCTTATTTTAACATTATCCCTATTCTTACTGTTCTAATTCATCAGCTCATTCTAATCAATAACATTTTCACAGGCAAACCTCTCTAAATTTTAGTGCAGTTCTATTGTTTACAGCACTGATTTCCACAGTATTGTGGATAATTATTTCATATTTGATAGACTTTCAGGGCTTATTATTAGCAAGATCCAAACCCAGCAAAACTGACTTATAGTTTCAAGATGACAGAGATGACAGACAAAGACCTTTATATCCCTTCTCCCTTCAAAATCACACCAAAATAGGAAGGGAACAAGAAATGGATACACATCCCACCTTTCATGGAACCATAATGTATGAGGGCAGAAAATGGAGGGAGGATGTTCATAGTTTAGTAGAGAAAAGGAAGATCTAACCCAAGTGCCTTTGGGGTGAGGGGATGGAGGAAGTGGTACACGTGAGAAACATCCCCTCCAGAACCTATCAAGGTTTAGGATCCAGAGGCATTAGAGAACACAAAAATGGGGTGAAGTGGAGGGAGGGGGTGATGAAAACACTAAGTCCCCACCCCTTCTCCATATAATCGGAGGCCTACTCTTCTCACCTATGCAGGAGATAGAATATTTGCTGCAGAAACTAAACCCCAGACTTGGGGACACCAGCAAAAGAAAAGTTAAGGTGAAGTACATCCCAAAAATGAGAGAATTAAGTGAAAGTCTACATTCTCAAAGATGAGAAGATACAAGTCTCTTTTCTCATAATGTCAACATCCATGTTTACACCATTTCCAAGCAAGAGATTGGGAAGTCCACAGAACAGGAGTTTAGATACTGACAATTGAGGCTCCCAACAAAAGACCAGCTGGCCATCTGCTCACCTTGTGGGAAGGCCCAGAAATCTACAGACACCACCCCCAAACACTGGTGTGTGGCAAACATTATAATACTTTTAGATTAGTAGACACTCAAGGATATCAGGTGTTTGAGGGAAACCAGCAAACAGAGAGGAAAAGGAGTTTAGAGGAAACAGGTAACAAGGAGCAGAAGAGAATTTCAGAGGAATTATAATTACCTTCAAAGAGATAAAAGACTGTAATGAGAAAAGAATAGCATGCTATGAGAAAAGGAGCAACAGGCAAGAAAATGCTTACAAATTAAAAATATTATTATTCCTGGAAAGAGGGGGGAAATGTGGGAAAGAAGAGGCAAGAAAATAAAAGAATCAATACAGGAAGTCCAATATTCAATTGGAGTTCCATTCAAGAGGGCACAACAGTAAAAAGAAAACTATTTTTTAGAAAGATTACAAAAATATTGTACTGAAGAAACTGAGCCTCCATGTTGGAAAAGCCTTACCAAGCCAAATGATGGGGGAAAAGTCCCAAACCAAAGCATATCTTTGAGAAATTGCCAAACCCTAGGGATAGACAGAGGATTCTAAGAGAGAGGAAATCAAATAGCATACAGTGTTAGGAATAAGAACTGCATATACTTCTCAGAAACGGCTTCAGAAGTTAGAAAACATAGAGCAGTCTTTCAACATTCTGAGTGGAAATGTTGCAACCCAGAATCGTAGGGGAGGCTAACAACTGAATGAAGACATTTTCAGTCCTGCAAAGCCTCAAAAGTTAATTCACTCCCCCAGTGTTGAAAAGTTAATACCCTTTCTCACGACGCCACTGGCAGATGTGCTCCTGCGAAATGAGGGGGGAAATGAAGGACAGAGATGTGGGATGCAAGAGCCTGGAGGTCAACCCTGGGAGAGAAAAGCTGGCAGCAGACAGAGAATCCAGACCACAGAGCAGGACCAGGCCACCACAGGGTGTCCCCAGGATGGGAAGGCATCTAAGAAATGGTGTGCCCCTTTGGAGAGCTGTGTAGGATGTGAGAAGACTCAGATGTTCAAAGAAATCTTCACTCCAGGAAATAAAAACATTCACATCAGAAGGGAAACAAGCCCCAGATCCTAGTTGGCTCAGCAGTGTCTATGAATAGAGTGCAGATCAGGAAAGCGCTGTATCTGGATTGCATTGTGAGTGTGGGGGAGGGAAGAGAGTACGTGTGAAGATAATTCTCACCCATCACAAGACATCAGTGTTTAAGAGCAAACTCTGGCACCTGTATGCTGGGAGTTGACCCGCCTCTGCCACGTACTAGCTCTAAGTCCCTAGGCACATTACGTAGCTTCTCTGTGCCTCTGTTTCTTCTTACCTGGGGATAACTGTGGTTTCTACCTCACACGGCTGTGATGCGAATTTAGTCAGTTAAACAGTTGTAGAGTTCTTAGGAGAGTGTCGGCACATAGGAAGGACTGTATAGGCACTTAATGACTAACCAAGTGCTAATAATATGTACATACTATATAGAAATATGGTAGAAAATAATTACCAAATTAGGAAAAGATTAGGTGCCTTTGGGAATCAGGAAAGGGGAAGGATGAGGGACTACTGTTTTTGATCCTAAGTCTCTTACTATGATTTTATTTTTTTTTTAACTATTCAGGCAATACATTAAAGTAAAATAAAATTAACTTAAAACCAACAGCCAACTCCAAATTTTAAAATGAAGGGGCACACACAGCTTTGATATGGACTACTTCATTCCCCCCATCAACAATTTACTAACATTCCTATTTGCTATGCTAGTGAAATTACGTGTATTTCTGAATGTAGCAGAGAACCCAACTTAATTTTTAAAAATAAAACTGTCAACACAGAAACTTATTCAGTTATTTCTGCAATAAAATCATAATTAATTAAAAAACAAAGTTTTTATTGCTCTAAGAGAAGAGATACTATCTAGTGGTCCTGAGTTTGGGGAAAAAATATACATGAGAAAGGAAGCAGTTTGAACCCTACTTTCCCTTCCTCTTGCCCTCTGATAAAGATTTTAATAAATAATGAAATGGGAGACTTAACTAAGTACAAGGGGGAAGACATAAAGGCTTTGGGTCAAGAAAATGCATAGATTTGTGTTTCCAGAGGCTTACTGTCTCTTCCAAACTAACCAAAGGACAGCAGGAACCAAAGAATCCTGGTTCTGTAATTATATCCCACTACTCCCCAAATATCTCACACTGAGCCTAGGCATTTCATAAGCATGCTACCAGAGGCCAATAAAAACGGATTCTAGGGTCACCTGGGTGGCTCAGTCAGTTAAGTGTCGGACTCTTGATTTCGGCTCAGGTCATGTTCTCACGGTTCGTGAGTTCAAGCTGACAGCACAGTGCCTTCTTGCGATTTTCTCTCTCTGCCCCTCCCCTGCTCCTTCACAGGTTCTCCCTCTCTCTCTCTCCTCTCTCCCTCTCAAAAATAAATAAATTAAAAAAAAAAAAAAAAGGATTCTGTGTAATAAGATACTCTACCTGATTCTCAACCTGGGTTGCCAAATCCTCTCCCAAACCCTAGTTTTCAAGATATAACCTGCCTTATTATCTGTATAAATTTAATCTGTCCTCCAAGCTAATATGAATTAAGGTATTCATAAGACAACTTCTAGAATACTATCATGTAACAATTTGAGTACTTTTAAGTTGCTTCTTTAAATAAATATATATATGTGTGTATATATATATTTTAAGGTGTTCTCTTTTGCCTGCCCTCATTTAAGTAGTAGCTGGTGGGTATAGCATCCGCTTCTAAATTCACAGCCCCCCTTTCTCCTCCTACCACTAGACACTCCTCACTGCAATGTAGAATCACAAAACACATTTTGCTCTGGGCCTCTGCCAAACTGTCACTGTATCTGGATAGTGCAATCTCCTCTCTAAAAAGGGAACAAAATAATCTGAACTTTGTCCTGGTGTGCCAGTGTGGGCCACCATGACAGCCAGCTAATCCATCACTGTGGGGACCTTAGGCTGTGCAACTGACCACCCAACTGACTGCCGTCAAAGGGGGGTGGCAGTTAATCATTTCCTTAAATGATGTGAGTATGGAAACAGCTGATTGTTGCTCAGCAGACGAACCTTATCCATTCTCCCTGCCCTGAGTAGTGACTGTGGCCATTTCCCCTTCTTCCCAGACCGCAGGGTTTCAAGAGATTCTGACCGAGGTGGAAATTTTAGCAGTGATTGTGGGATGCCTGTGTCATGACCTCGACCACAGGGGAACCAACAATGCCTTCCAAGCTAAGTAAGTGTTCTAATTGTTGTTATTTTAATGCATTTGCCTTTCTATTCAGAGCCAAAGGTGACGAGTGCTAAAGAGTAAAGCATTAATTTCTGGCATCTGAGGCCAAGGCCATGCAGGCTTGGGTGTGCATGTCATGGGGCTCATCCATCTTTATAATTCCCTATTCTTCTTTTAATTGCAAATTTGCCCTTCATGTCATGCTTGTTGATTTGGTCTGTCTCTGTTGACCTCAGTCAGATAACAAAGCTCAGATTTTAAAAGGCCTATTTTTTTTTCCTTCCGGAGTATTTGCCTTCATGGCATTATAAGCATCTTGGACTTGCTACTCTCAAAATCAGGTTTTGAGACTATTAAAATAAAAGTGGCCTTCGGAAATTTTATGAAGCAGAATATGTTTCTTCTCCCAATAGACTCTCTTGCAGGTTCTTTAATGGTGGGTGTTGTATAAACTGCAGTGAACTAAAGCAACGCAGGAATACGGTCTCTGCTGTTCCCATCCCTCCGCCCACAGAAAGGTGGGAAGCAAACAAAGGAATTGCATCAATCCTGGGAACGTGTGAGCACCTAATGTGCACAGACAGAATAATGTGCCCCTAAGCAAGTTGGACTGGTCGAAATAACCAGCCGTTACTTGGTGGCTCACACTGTGGTCTTATTTGGAAATAAGACCAAAACCCCAGTCTCCTGACTTATATTGAAGGTCCAGTTTTAGTGTTCGTTTTACTATCTGTTTGCAAACAAAATGACACGTGGGTTCAGGGGCTGGAGCAAAACGTTTGGGGATGGAGAAGTTAAGAAAGGCTTCAGCAAAGAGGTAAGATTAACTGTCAGGTAACTGATTTCCAAGCCCCCGAACAGGTCTGCCTCCATAACGTGAACATCAATAGCCCACTGTGTGTCAACAGCATCACTCCCTTTGTTCCCCAAGCATTGACCTATTGGGGCCTTGGACTCCTGGCTCTTTGCATATCCTCCCAATCAAATGAATTTTGATTTTATAAACTTCTCTCTGCATCCTGGATCCTATTATAACCCCTCACTTTAACCCTCTTTTCTCAATATCCTACCATTTCTTGACCCTCTTAACCTTCTGTGACATCCACTGTGCAAAAGCTCGGCACCAATACAATCAAACAATTCAGTTTCTTGCTACTCTACCTAGACTTTTACAGGCTTTGGGAGAAAATGTCACAATTGCGAGAGTCTGAGATATGCCAAATATGTATTGTCCCAGCTCAGCTGGAGGCTCTATACTCCCCACAGATCTTTCTGTGTCCCTAGCCAGCTCCGTCCCCACTTGCTTTTAGCAGTTATGTGGACCAAACTGTTCTCCCTTCCTAAACCACCTCCTGTCTACCACTGCCCCCACACCACTCAGCAGATCACCTTGCCTCCTCCTTCACCGAGAAAATTGAGGCCATCAATTGAGCCCTCCCTCAATTTCCTCCCCTGCCATGTAGAAACTTATCTGTCTGGCCCCATCCTTTCACCCTTCTGTCCTATCTCAACCAAAGGGCTGTGCTGTCTCCTGTCTGAGACTAATCCCTCCACCTCAGCTTTGGGGGCTTTCCTTGCCCCCTCCCGTGGGACCCTGCTCCATCAATCTTCCTCCCTCTGCCTTGTGTCTCTTTTCCATTCCTACTAGTGCTCAGCATCCTGTTAATGTCAGCAATTCTCCACCATCTTGAAGAAGCCTGCCTCCAACCCTACTTCTCCCTCCGGCTTCGGTTCTCTCTCTCTCCCTTACTTTCTAGTCAGTCTTCTTGGAGGGTTGTCTGTTGTTGTCTTCACTTCCTCAACCCCCGCCTCCTACATGGCCGTCCAGTTCCACCTTCCCAGGGGAGCCCACCAATGGCCCCTGTTCCCAAAGCTGATGGACACTCTTTTTGGCCTTCTTTCTTGACATTTCTTGCCATGAGCCACATTTTGTCACTCCCTCCTTCCAGGAACTCTGTCTTCCTATTGGAGCCCCACAGCCATCTCAGTCTCAGTCTTTGCCTCTACACGTCTCTCTTTTCCTCTATCCTAGTGAATAGCAGGGCCAGAAACCCACCAGTCACCCAGATTCTCTCCTTAGCACCCCAAAACTGACATATCTGCATTGTTGGGTAACTACTGCTTCTTTGCACCCATCCTGGGTTGCTACAGCAAGCAACCCATATTCCCTCCTCCAGTCTCCCCCCTACCCCCTTGGCACTCAAGAATAATCTTTGTAATTCACAAAGCTGACTAAGTCACTCTCCTGCTTAAAAAACATTCACTGGCCTCCTGTGACTTTCAGGATAATGTTCAAATTACTTGGTTTAGCCCCCCTGAAGGCCCTTTTCAGTTGGGCTCCTGCCCATTTTCCTGGCCCAGCACCCACTCCTCCCACCCCCACCCCCCATCAATGCATCAGTGTCCCAGACACAGGGGCTATTGGTGTCCTCAATGGGGTCATGTTAGTTCACCTCTCTCTGCTCCGGGGTATGCTGCTTCTCTATCCTGGAATGCCCTTCTTCTCCTTCTTGCCCCAAACTCCTCCGAAAGCATCACCCCCTGGGTTTTATCTCTGAGGTACCATCATAGTCAGTGTCTCTTCCTTTAGCCCCCTGTCTCCAGCCCCCTACCTTTCTGCCACTTATGCATAAAGAGGAGATAAATGTGTTAGAATTATGTTCATAAAGCCAGACTGAGCACCTTGTGGGTTCTTTTAAGAGTCAAGTGCACAATACTTGTTCTCAGATACCAACATCCCCTTCCAGAGAGACCCTGTGTGTCACCCTGAGAAAGGCGGCCCTTTTTGCTAATTGACCTCTCAGGTCTTTGGACCAAGAATATACACCTGATTAAAACCAGCTAATCATATTTCATATACCAGGAATTCAGAGTTGGATTACCATGATACTGACTCAGTTATCTGTTGAGATCCAAGCTGTGGATCACAGAGACTTGGGAGCTGTAGGCTGCCATTTTGGGAAAGCCGTGATGACAGAAATAGATAAGAGAAACAAGAAAGTGAGTCTGCAGAGAGAAGAGAAGAAGAAAGTAAATATTCATAGAGAAACAGAAAAAAAAGGTTATACAACCCTGGAGACAGAAAAAGCAGACTTGATCCCTGGCTTTCCACATCTCTACTCCATTGCCAGGAGACCCAGCCACACTTGTGATAACTGGGTTCCCTCAAAGTTCCTTTTATCATTTAATCAACCTCTTTAATGAAGCTGCTTCTAATTGATTTCTGTTTTTTGCAACTGACAGTGCCTGAGACAATGAGAAGTACTACAATGTACTTGTTGTATCCTACCTCCAGTGCTCACCAACATACTTGTAGGGTAGATATCTTTGTCTCCATTTAACCGGGAGGGCCTGAGCCTCAGGGAAGTAACTTGCCTAGATTCATGCATCCAGAATGTGGCACAACAGTGTTTGGACCCAGGCTATCTGATTCCAAAAGCCATTGCTTAGCCACCGCATCATATTCCCTTTCATGACTTTGTATTATTTATTTGGGGCCTTTAAGCTTCCAGGTTATTAGCTGACTTGCCATATATGTGAGCTCTGGAAAACTACAATATATTTTGACATCCAGCAAATCAAGACACAGAGCCATAAAAAATCCTAGAAATGAACTAGACCTTGGTAGTCATATTTTTCAACACCTTAACTTTACAAAAATGGAAACTGGGGGGTCCCTGTAGAGGCCACTTGTAGGCAAACAGGCTTGAGCAATGGAATGTAGGAAGTGCCCATAGTGACCACCCGGCTGAATGCAAACCATCCCATCAGGTGATCGACCCACCTGCAAATATCCTAACTGACCAATGGGCTACTTACAACCAGGCACCGTTGCCAAAAAAGGGAGAATTCCATACTTTACCATTATTCCTCATCTTCCCCCTTTAAAAACAGCCCCCACCCACTGCCTCCTTGCAGACAGCCTCTCCCTCTGCTGTCTTGCAGTGTATCCAACAAACTTCTATCCTTTCTTCAGCCTCAGGTGAATTCTTTCACCACCAACGCCATTGGCTTCCACCTTTCATCCCCCCACATCTGGGGGCCCCATCTGATCGGATAGACACCCCATGTCTATGTGGGAACACCACAGTTCCCAAGTCTCAAGTGACTGGTGTAAGATTAAACAACTTTCAACATATGAGATAAGGGTTAAGTTGCTGATTGCTGATATTAGAATTCAAAGTTCGGGGGTTTTGGGTTTTGGGGGTTTTTTTTGGCATCCTTATACCACATGATCAAAATCTACTGTTCCAAGACAGTCTGACATGTTTCCTCAAGACGATTAATCCCGTACACAACTTAACCAGCTCACGGGATGTCTATCAGCCCTGCTTCTACCTAAGAGAGTTCCTTTTGAACTTAGGATACCAAACATCACCACCACCCACCCTCTTGTTAAAATGTCCTTCAACAGCGAATACTGAAAGAGACCTTTTAAATCATGGTGAAGGGGTTACCTTTTTATTGATTAGAATAACACTTATTCAGTAAGCGTGCCATTGTTTAGAAAAGCCATAGGAAGAAATCTAGTCCTTATTTCCTTTGTTATTCCACAATCATTGAGTGCTGTTTTTGTGCAAGGCTCTGTGCTAGGCATTGTGGGAGAAATAAAGGAGCATAACAAACAGTCCCTTCCCTAAAAGTAGTCACAGTATAATTCCAACCTTTCAAGTGATTTGGAAATAGATTTAAATGCACCAGTTATTACGTGGCAAAGCATACAGTACCTTTTATTCATATATAAGGCTATAAAGAAACAAGAGACATTTAGCAAGGGACAAATTACTATATAAAATGCAAAATGCCTCTATAATAAAAAGTTGTGACTTTAGTTATAGCACAATATGATTTATTCTCTTAGCCTTTCTGATGAGTGAACCTTTGCATTTTCATATTTTATTCTTAATTTTTAAGTATTGGAGCACGTGCAATGAATGATCAATAGGTAGAGAGGGCCACCATACCACCATGCTTAGCAATTGCTCTGTGAACACCTCTCTCCCGTTTTCTCCAGGGACAGCATTTCCCACTCATCCCCCCCGTCTCCATTACAGCTGCCCCCGATGATTAAATATCAGTACCAAGCAGCTTTGTAGTATATTCTCCTAGGAGACTTCTTCTATTCATTTCTAGCATAATCTCTTATACTCATTTATTGGGAATGAAAACCCATCTTGTCGCTTTCGGCCAGGTCCCAGAAGTGAAATCCTGGGGCACATTAATCTGCCATGACAGCCTAATCCCATTCCTCACCACCTCCCAGCAATTCTCAATTTCCTAATTACCTTTCATAGTTTTCCTTTTAAAACTTTCCCATAAGCCATATCTGGAGAACTTATGCATGTTTTTGCACATTTATTTCTTGGTGCCTGAGCAAAGTGCCTGTACAGAAAGAATTTTCACTTTGACTTTTCTTTTTAATAAGTCTCTTCTCGGTGTGTCACCTGTCCACAAATGAAAGTCTTCAGTATGTTGGGATGACCTAATCAACAATGAGCTTCATAAACAATCACATGTATAAATATTCCTGTGCTCATGAAATTCAGATATATAATATGGATATCCACAATTTGGAGATATATATGTATCGACAGTTTGTATATATATATATACACACACATATATATATACAATTTGTATATATTATATATATATATACCATATATATATATGTATATATATATATATATGGTAACATACTTTTTGCTGCCAACCTTCAAGTTTGAACTATAATCTCTAGCCATACTACTGTAAGCTTATTAGCCAAGCAGCTAATATTTTTTAAATTTATTATTTATTTTTGAGAGAGAGTGGGGGAGGGGCAGAAAAAAAGGAGGGGGGACAGAGGATCCCAAAGTGGCTCTGCGCTGACAGCAGTGAACCTGATGCAGGATTCAAACTCACTAACCATGAGTTCATGACCAGAGCCCAAGTCAGATGCCTAACTGACTGAGCCACCCAGGCGCCCCACCAAGTAGCTAATATTTTTTTAAGCACCTATTCCATGCCAGGCAATCAGCTATGATATGCACATAAAACATCCTGGAATTTCAAAATCCAAAACAAAGGCACCCAGTGTGCATTTTGAAAAATGTATTTTCATAAAAAGGAACTCTGATAGAAAATAGTTAACTAAAATTAAATATTAATTGATCACTGGTTACTAAGATTAGCCTAACAATTTTGCACTTATTAAATGGTATAGATGAAGGTAAGATTTAAAGAAACAACACATACCTGATTAAAATGTAGTTACCACCCTCCCCCTTAGCAACTCTATTCATGATGATACCTATGGAACCTAACCCTGTGTTTCTCCAGCATGTCGTCAGCTCTGAGTCTCTCCAAGATTATGGGCCCCTGGGCCCCTGATCTGGCTGTGATCTTGGGCTGCTTCACAGTGGAGATGGAGGGCAGCTTAGGACCAAAATCCTTCACGTTGCACGTATATGCAGTTCTTGGCTCCTCTCATTAGCAGTGCAGACTGTGAGCTGTCAGTCTCCGGCATTTCCAAGAAAAGGCCAAATTGCCCTTTTGATGTCCAAACTCCCTGGAATGAGCAGGAAAGAACACAGGGACTCTGATTGCCGTGATTGCCCTTTACACCATAGGATTCTCTGGATCTCTCTTGACTCTTAAGATGCTCTAAATCCTAATCCTTCCACAAAAGCTGGAAATGAACACACTTGAACATGTCCAATGAACACTTTGCTGAACTGATATTATTGAGAATTAACTGGTTCTGCATAAGCAGAATTTACAGATAATTCAAAGTAACTTTTTCAAGTATTTAAAATGGAAATTGATATGGGTTTTAATTGATTTAATAGACTGCAGTCTACTACATGTCATGTATTATGATAAGCACTTCCAAGTATTTTATTACATTTTCATAAATAACAGGAGGTAGATAGCATTTTCACAATTTTAGAGACCAAGAAACTGAGCCTTAAAGCACCCAAGTAACTGTCCAAAGCTTTTTCCAAGAGCTAGGGTCTGATTCCAAATCCAGGGAACTTTCCAGTTCTACTCTGAGATACAGTGGGACTGTGAGCTGGGAAATCATAGGAGAAGCTTGTCAGCCTTACCTGTAAAGTGGTTCAATGGACTCTGCATAATATTCCCAAGGGCTTTTCCCCTGGAAAGGCAAATACATTGGGTATAGGACAGTTAGTTGTTGTGAACACTCGGAAGCTACATACAGTTTAGTTCATGAAGTGCACCCTGATCCCCTAAGCTACAAATTCTGTCTTTTGTCCTTGGAACATCTGAAGCACTTCGATTGGACATGGAACGCTTTCTATGGTATTTGTGTTATGTGCATTATTTATCTTATGACCACATCTCATCTGAATTTCTTAGCCACATGGCCTGTGTCTTATCTATTTTATCATCCACGGGATCTAGCCTAACACATAGAAGGTTTTCGAAAAGTTTACTTCGTGGATGAGTGAAGTACCCGGTTTCCTAAGAATATATATGCTCGTGTTCCTTTGCCAAAGCAGGAAAAGCAGTCTGATCCAAAGAAATGGCATGGGAGAATCGTTGGCGGGTAGAGGGCCCTGGTCACTCACGCTTCTCTCCTCTTTCAGGAGCGGCTCTGCCCTGGCCCAACTGTATGGAACTTCTGCTACCCTGGAGCATCACCATTTTAACCATGCTGTGATGATCCTTCAAAGTGAGGTACAGGCCTAATACTCTGCTCCCCTTCTCAGAAAACCAATACAACAATGTTTGCTACATCTTTCTTTGTAGTGCCACACATAGATACAGAGAAAAGAGACAAGTTTTTTTAGGCGAAACTATTGCTTTTCTTGGCGGCTTTTTAAAATCCTTTCAGATGCCTGACCAAGAACCTTATTCAGTTCTTCCTGAGCTGATTCATTTGGGTTTCATGATTGGTAAGGAGACTTTTCAGATTCACTTAGCAGAAAAGACGGCTTATAGCTTGTCACCAGAGCATGGGCTTATTTTCTTTAAGGAGCACAGAAGCCACTGGCAGAGTGACTTGACCCAAGTAGTGAGTGGCCCACATTCCCATTTTGCAAAAGTCGAAGCCATTTTACAAGATGGTAGAAATAGAAACAGGGTGAGAAAATTACACTTTATTAGCACAATTGAGAAAGCTATGAAAGATAAAAAGAACCCAAAATTGCTGGTCGGAGCAGTCTGAAAGTGAGAATTGCTGCTAAACTTGAGACCCAAGGCTAAAGCCATATGCCTTATTTTGCTTCATGTCGCAATGCAGGAGTTAGACATAGTTGGACTTGTGTACTTTTAGCTCTCCACAGAGAAAAAGAAAAACCACTAACTGACTCCGGCTGAGGCATCTGAGTTTTAAATTGCCAGGAAAGGATCTGTTTAATTTTCTGCAGGCGTACAGACTTTTTTTTTTTTTTTTTTTTTTTTTTTTTTTGAGGCCAAGAAGGGATCATCTGTTCCCCATTATTTGTCAGTTCTCTAGCTGTGCCATTAATTATTATTATTATCATCATTAAGGCCCTGCTTCGCTGGAATAGCATCATTAAATATGGAGGGTTTTTTTCCCTCCAGCCTATCTTGAGAAAGCATGTCTTTTGCAATATCACAAAAGCCTTCTTCGACCCCATAAAGGAGAGTCAGCACTCCGGAACCCGAATGCAACTGGGGAAGGGCAAACCCGCTGAGGGAGATGTATTTTCAGTTGGGAATGAAACATCAAGAGTTAGCCTCTCAGTAACTCTGACAGAAACCATCATCCCAGCCTCTGCAGCTCTGGAATTTTCCTATGGAAGCCATGTTTGAGCTGAGCGCTATGGAAGAGGGAGGGAGGGTTAGGAGGAGCTTGGAGCTTGGGTGCAGACTGTCTTTTCTGTACTGGCAATATGATGAGTTTACACCTCAGACCCCAGAAACTCTCACCTTTGTAATAACAGGGATTATAAACAGGATGTTAGGGTTTTCTTGGAAGGTCATTTGTTTGTCTCCTTGGGAAAAACAAACCCCACTAACTCAGAATTTGTCTTCATACAAATAAAACACATTGGCTGGCCTTCACTCCGGGGTTCTCTGTAAAGAACACAGAATAATGACAATGGAAATTCATCCTGAGCAACTGTTGTGTGGGTTCTGGTCTGGCTATTATCCCACAGACACCCCTGCCCTGCGCATCAGAAAGGCAAAAATCCACCCTGCTTTTTAAATGAGGCAGAGGCCTGAGGCAAGCTACTCCAGACCTTTCTCCCTCCACACTTGGTTTTCTTTTCATCAGTACCACTCCTCCATAAATGTAAATGACAGTAGAAGCAGTATTTCAGGGACACAAATCTGTTTCAGGGACCTAACCCTTGAGGCACTGTAGAAGGCCAATTTGCATGTAAACAATACACTGACTGCAAATTAACTGTTTTGTTTTATCAAAGCCTATCTGGCTAGCTTTATCACTCTGTTAGCTGTAAATTGTGTCAGTTACTAGATGTTCTTTAAAATTGTTAAAACGCACTCTCTCACAAAAAGATCAAGATCCTCAAATTCAGACCAGCTTTCTCCTGAACTCCACATAGTTTTGACTGTAATTTACTCATAAAGCTATTTTCTTTCACTGGAAGATGCTAGCCATTGTCTGGATCCAGGTGATGACTTTTCCACAGCTTCCAACCACTTTCTTCCAGGCCCCAGAGCACCAACCTATGATTGATCCATGGGGGAAGGCTCAGGCGAAGAAACCTGGGCAGAATTATGGCTTGGTCTACCTTTACTTACTTGTCTTCTTCTTAATGGCTGAATTAAGGGTCTGGAAGAGTTCATTTGAAAATTATTATTAATATTGGACCTGGTCCCAGGTGGAACCAATATACTCTAGTCTCAAAGGAGTGGAGGGTTCACCCAATGAGATAAATTAACTCAGGGAAGGAGATTATCATCTGGTAGCTGGTAAGAAGTAATTTGCTAATTGATATTCTGGTTCCCTGAAAGAATTAATTTACCTCTTAGTGGAAAATAGTTTATTCTCAGGCAGTCATCTGCCCCTTCCTTCCATACTATCTTCTGGCTCTCAGCACCCACTTTAAAACCCCTCCGGTTCCCAGGCCACATGTTTTTGAGTTCATAACCCATGCTAAGAAAACTTGATAAATGAAAAGCCCCTGACTTTCAAAGCAAGTTAAGTGAATTTACAGGATTGTTTCACTTTACTAAAAATATCGCAGAGCTGTCTAATATAGCTAAAACAAATTTTGATGAAAAGAAGTGTGCTTTCCAAAGGTATGGAGATACAGGTACAAATTTTCCTAGGTAAAAGTCATCTTAGCAGTCCCAAGAACTATGCCAATAACACTATCTTATACATTCTAGCGACTCAGTAATTACATACTGAATTTAATCTACCACACACTTCATTAGGATGTATCTTCACAATTTAACTCGGGGTTTCTCAAACTCGTCAGTGTTGACACACTGGGCCGGTATACCTTCATTGTGGGGGCTAGCCTATGCATTGTCAGAGATTCAGTGGCATCCCAGGCCTCTACCCACCAGATGCTGATAGCATGCCCAACCAGAGTGATGATAAAAAAGTCTCTAAATATTGCCAAAATCACTCTCAGTTAAAAACCACTGGTCTAAGGTTTCTTTCTCCTCCGTGAAGTAATTTGTTGTCATAGCAAGTGCTTCCAAAATGCCAACTTAAGTCTTTATTAGTGAAACTAGTATTCATTTTAGGGTCAGAAAGATTCTCAAATATTTTGTCAATTTCTACGCTCAACAATTCCACAGGAAATGGCAGCCAAATGGAGTTATTGGCACAAACATATCCATAGTAACACAAGTTTAAACATTTTCAGAGTCTTCTATTTAGGACTAATGAAGAATAATAAAGTGCCTCTTGGTGGTTGTCCTCAAAAATGGTTGCACTCTCTGGCTTTGCTGTTTTCCAGAGGGTCTGTTTGTATTTGCACAAAATTTCATTAATTTTTTAAGAAAATGTTTTTTATCATGTTCCCATACTTTTTTTTTTTTTAAATATAGGAGACGTGTAATTGACAACCTCAGATTTAATGTTGTCTTTTGTGACTTTTTACTTTCTCATTACAGGGTCACAACATCTTTGCTAATTTGTCCTCCAAGGAATATAGTGACCTTATGCAGCTTTTGAAGCAGTCAATATTAGCAACAGACCTCACGCTGTACTTTGAGTAGGTATTGGCATTTGATCTATTTGACAAATGGATATCTAAAATTTCATCTTGTAATTAATTTTCAAGTCCATATTGGGGGTCGCCTGTTATTCTACCACTGGTATCAATGTGTAAATGAGCTAAACTTTTTGTTATTTTCCCTTATCTAAATGAACTTCATTAAGGTGGTATCTGTAAGACAAGAAAATCAGGGCTACCATCACGTGATTTATAGCTGTCTTCTGTTGAATGAACTTTGTCTGAAACTTTTGACTCTGAAACTAGGTGATGGCCATTTTTATTTTAGACACTTGCTAAGATTGCTATTTTTGGTTATTTTATTTCTGGTGAAATCCAAAATGGTGTTGATGATGCTAATGAAAGATTTGTTGCTGAAAGGTTGACTTGAAATCCAAGTCTTCATTTCTTGCCTCTACTCTATCTCTCTTTCTCAGAAGAGCTGTCCTCCTTTTTCCCAAAGTTCAAGCCTCCATCTGAGCTAGAAATTCCATCCCTCTTATTTCCCCTGATACCTGCTCCACCAGAGCAAAACCACCTCTTTTGGCAGCCTGAAAGTCTTTTCCTTTGCCAATATGCATAGTTTCCTCTTAAAGACCGGTTTCCCTTCCTTAAAAAATTCTTCCACTTGATCTGATGGAGATCTTTAATTGCTTTTCAACTTACCTTTCTTTTACTGCCTACCTTTCAAAATAAATGGAACACAGAAAAATAAAAAAATTTAAAAAAATAAATAAATGGAACACATTTTCCTAACACCTGCTTACGCTTTGAAGACCAATGTGCACCTTCATATTCTACAAAAATTGTTCTTTCACAGGTCACCAGAAACTTCCTTGTCCTCAAATTCAGGGTCCTCCTTTACCCATTTCTGATATTGTCTAGCTTCTTTGAGACCTCTGAAGGTTTACAGTCTTCTTATTGTCAATTTCTACCCTCTTCTCTTCCCCAAATCCAGCTGCTTTTCTCCCTCTTTTTCTGGATTCTTTGTAGGTTTCTTTTCTCCTTGTTCCTACATATGAGTTCTTGAACCCATATTCTTTCTCAAATCAGATTTATTCCCTTAGCCTCATCTCCATATAACCTGTATAGGTATGTAGAAGGCCCTGGAATTCTTCAGTCTAACCATCACATTCTAATCACATATCTCCAACTTCCATCTCAAAAACCTTCACTGATTTCATTGCTTTCAAAGCAACCTGGAAGCTTAGTTCAAGTTTCAAGGACCTCCATAATCTGCCCCTAACCTTTTTTCCTTCTTATCTTCCACTTCTCTCCTACATGATTTGTCTTCTCTAACCAGACTGGTCTACATATTACACTTTGAAAACATCTCGCACAGTGCCCTGATGCCCGAATCATACTGTTTCTGCATGAAATCCTGTCCCTGCCCTTCCTCATCAGCTGAATTTTCCTTTAAGGTCCATTTCCTCCATCACCTTTTCTAGGAAGCTTGTTTCACTCCCTTTGAAATCTTAACTGCCCTTTGTTATTGTGTCAGTTAGAATTAGAATCAATTGTAAGGGGCACAAAACCCAAAACAATAGTGGACTACATCTCTGTCACGTAGAAGAAATCTGGAGATCCACCATCTGGAGCTGGTAGAGTAGCTATATGAAGTCATCAGGGACTCAGTGCTCTTTTTATCTTTCCGAGCTGCCACCTTCAGCACATGGTTTTGACCTTAGTCCAAGATAGCTGCTTAAGCTCCAACCAGAATGTCCACATTTCAACAAGCAGAAAGAAAGAAGGGACAAGAAAGAAAGGGGCCAAAAGGTGATGCAAGCTATCTTTTAGGAGAGTTTTTTGGAAACTCCACATAATTCTTGCACTTACATTTCAATGGTCAGAATTTAGTCATTTGGCCAAACCTAGGTTGAAGGAAGGTTGGGAAAGGAAGTCTTTACTTTGGGTAGCTGTGTGCCCTGCTGAAAAGTAGGGGCTCTATTATTAATAAAGGAAGGAGGGATATTGGAGTAGACAACTAACAATCTGTGCCCTAGGTATTTATTGTTGGATTCTGCTGAATGAGTTAGTGCATGGTATTGTGGAAAGAGTAAAGGCTTTGGAAGTATACTGGTCTGGATTTAAATCACGTTCTGGCATTCTGCTTAAACCTGGTAGACTGAGCCCAAGTGTCTGTGTCCTTTCCCTCCTGAAACTCCACTGAAATGACACCAAATAAATTTCAAGAAAAATAAAAGCATAAATCTGCAAGAGAGAGGGCACGCCAACAACTGAAAAGAGATGTCAATACATAAGTGGAAAACGGAAGACTGACCAACAAATGGTAACTGATTTAGCAGAGCAGAAGTGAAAAGTAGGACCCACAGAGGAAAACATCTCTGAGAAGCAAGATAGTTTGCCCTGTAAGACCTTTCTTAGGAGCCCAGGGACAAAAAAAATGCCATGAAAAGGGGATATGACTCTCAAAGCTTAAGACAAGAAGATTGATAGAAAGTCAGTTTATGTAACACTCAGAGCCCACAAAGTCCTTCCCCAACATAGTCAGTTAGCTTTTTTCCTCTACCCCTGGAGATAGTCAGAGGTTTATTCCCTAGAGAAATAAAAGACCAAACTCTGGACTGAGGGAAATACAAGGTAGAAATGAGATACAGAGCCAGAACAGGGGATAAAAAGAAATGGAACAAGTCTCTGGATTGAAAACCCATAGCCCAGTCACCCAGAAGTTAGGAGTTCATATGCCATAAATCCAGGGTTGTCAGATTTAGCAAATAGAAATACAAGAATCCTAGTTAAATTTGAATTTCATATAAACAAGGAACAATTTTTAGTATAGCTATGTCCCATGTAATGTGTGTGGAGGACACATACATACAACTGCTGCTCAGCCTTTTAATGCCTGACCATTACATACAAAGAGATACCAAGGCTCACAGAACACTTTGTGAAAGACTCCCATATGAAATGGGAAAGCAAATGGGAAAAAATGAAATTCAGAGAAAGCAGGGAGAGAAAGAAAACAAAACCCCAAAGCGATTATTAATATCTTTAGACAGCTAATGTATTGCATCCATGAAACAAGAACAGGATGCTTTAAAAAATAATAGGAACAACCACAGAAGAAAAAGCTCTTGATACTAAAAATAGGATAGCCAAGGGGCGCCTGGGTGGCGCAGTCGGTTAAGCGCCCGACACCAGCCAGGTCACGATCTCACAGTCCGTGAGTTCGAGCCCCGCGTCGGGCTCTGGGCTGATGGCTCGGAGCCTGGAGCCTGTTTCCGATTCTGTGTCTCCCTCTCTCTCTGCGCCTCCCCCGTTCATGCTCTGTCTCTCTCTGTCCCAAAAATAAAATAAACGTTGGAAAAAAAAATTAAAAGAAAAAAAATAAAAATAGGATAGCCAAAATAAATAAAATTAAGGCATTGGGGAATACAGTCAAAGGACAAACAGGCAGCAATATGGAAAATATTGTTTTGTTTCATTATGTGCTTTTTAGGATTGTTTGATTTGTTAACTATGTGCATGGAATACCTTGATAAATATAAATTTTAATTAATTTTAATATATAGTTTCAAAACAAAAATCCCAGCTCTGCCACTACCTGGCTGTGTGTTATCAGACAAATTATTCACCTCTCCAAGCCTCTTTTCTTCATACGTAAAATAGAGATAACAATACCTATGTTATCTGTCTTATAAACATCTTACATCTCATAAATGCCTTGTATATCTTATAAGTGGTGGTATACAATCTCATTGCTTTATAGCCCGTTTATTTTGCATGTTTTCTGACCCTCATGATTGACTTAACTATGCTGATCTTTTTCTGAAATGATGCTCCTTGATTTGGGATTTATGGAGGCCTATACCCCTTTAATGTTTTTATTTCCTGTCTCTGGCACTTAAGGATTTTGTGTTATTTTTCTCAAAGTAGAAACATTTTCCCAAGCCAAGTTTCCAAGTAACTTCTAAGGGGGAAAAAAAAATCTCACACTTGGAGTCCATTTATCAAGGCCTGTTAGGGACGTGTCGAATCACTGAGTGACCGCTGGGATGCGGCCAAGTAAGTTGGTTGCAACTCCTTTTCTCATTACTCTGTTCTTATCTTAACGCTGCAGCCCCTGCTGTTTGCTGACTCCCAAAGAAGTCGGCTTGTTCTCTTTTTGTCAGCATTATTGTCTTCTGAGGTTCCGAATAGCTTGCTCATTCCCTAATCTAGACCTTCAGGAGGCTGATTCACTTGCCTGTTTAAAGTTGCATTAAAGCGTTGCCATATTTTTAGCCAAAACAATCCCTAGGGTTAATGAGGAGAACAGCAGCCACTATAGACTGTCACCCAGATGCATTTATTTCACAGATATACAATGGTGGGACTAGAAGGGATGTTAGAAATGATGTAATCCAATTCATCTCCTTTATTTTGTAGATCAGGTACTGAGCTCCAAAAGGTTAAATAGTGTAGCTTGGGTCACATAACTAATTAATGGCTAAACTGAAAACCACTCCTCTTTCAGGGCTTTTTCCACAATCACTGTATTCCTCCTCTAATGGAAGAATCAAGAAATAGTCATCATTCGAGTTGGAGATACTTTTTATGGAATATTGACCTTCCCGGGTGTATGTCAATCAGTTTAATTTGCAAACCAGCATGGGTTGCCTGCGCCCTCTCCCAAAGCAGAGCTAGAGTCAAGGGCTTGCGTGCAGGTAGCATAGTTTTGGAAGTGGCGTCAGGAATAGGAGCAGGGCTCTGGGACAGTGACTAGGGAGGTAGGAAAGCTATTGCCAGGACGGGTTTCCTTGTTGGTAGTTACAGTGGTCACCTGGGCTTGATCCTGCAGGGACTGTCTGAAAAGTCTCAGATGCTGCACCTCAAAATTATCCACCCACCTCCATTCTTTATCAGCAAAGGTTATTCCATGGGTGTTAACTCCTAGGACTTGGGACTTTCAGGATGTGCACGCCTGAGAGCTGGGGATTCTCCAGCAGTCCTCATCCCACACGTGGAGTGAGCAGCACCCCGGCAGAAAGTAAGCAATG